ATCAGGGAAAACATGAGAATAAAATACAATGGCATGGTAGAACTAAAGAATGAAAGAGGCCTAGGTCTCCAGATGAACACAATCAAAAGGCTAACCACCAACTTAAATGTGTAAAAAACTCTCCAGCAAGGGACCCAAAAAATTAGGATGAAAATCTAAATTCCTTACCATAGCCTTTCCAGGCCATATATAATTCAGTCATTGTTTTCCTTTTCAATCTTTTCTACTACCACTAGAATTCAACCTCATTAGACAAGGTATTACATGGTTCCACTTACATGACATATTTAGACAATGAACTATTTAGACATTCATATAGACAAAGAGATTAGAAATTAGTAGGAGGCCAGGGCTTTAGCTCAGTGGTTCTGCCACGTGCCTTGCAAGAGCAAGGTCCAGAATTTGATCCTAGTACCAAAAAACAAAAAACAAAAAGAAATTACTAGGAAATTTTGGGAATTGGGAATTTTGGATTTCTGACCACAGAGTTTTTATTTAAAATAATGGAAAGATTTTACAAATGATGGAGATAAGTGCACAACATTTTATAAGTAATTAGTGCCACTGAATTGTACATCTAAAATAGTAAAAACAACAAATTTCATTTTACTACATTTTAAAAAGTGAAAAAGACTACCACAAATAACAGAAAAACTGAAAGATAAGCTAAAGGAAAAATTAACCACACTCACAAATTAGAAAACTAAATAGTTTAATGTGAACGTCATAGTATATCTTGCAAATGTCACTTCTCAAAATCTTAAAAGATACCTCAAATGGACAATAAATGCATGGGAGATGCCTGACAATGGCCCTGGAAATGGCAAATGAGTCGGAAAGAAATAATCCAATTTTGCACTACTGTTTCCACATATGCAGTATGAACTCAACAATAGGTAAGTTTTGCTTTGTCAGCTGTTTTCAAATAAGGAAAAAAAGTTTTTTATAATCATAAAAATTCTTGGAGTTACATATTTATTGGTTCTGATATTGGCTCCTTCCTATGGACACCCCTGGCCATCTAGTGCCACTTCTCTACAAACTGAAGAATCACCTTTGAAACTGCCTGTAATGGGGGTCAGATGCTGAAAAAAAATCCCACTTTTGGGTTTATTTAAACATATCTTTAATTTACCTTCAATTTTTGCTGGGTATAGAATTCTTACTCAATAGCTTTTACTTTTCACCTCTATGAATTACTATTTCCATGTCTTCTAGCCTCCCATCCACTTATGTGCCTACATGTGTTTTTATGTATTTACCCTGCCTTAAAGTTAAGTTGATGTTTTCCGTGATATAGGGGTTTTCAAGCCATTATTTATTCTGCTCCGTTATTTATTCTTCATTTAAATGCATATTTAAACTAGTTATTACCTCAAAGGTCTCACAAACTGTTCATTTCTCTCCACTCTTTCTCCTCTTTGTCCTTTAGACTGATATTTTTTTATTAATCTATTCACAAGTTAACTATTTTGTCACCTCTAAAAAGCTGTTTTGCTTATCTAATTGACTTTCATTCCAGATACTGATTTTCTCAACCATAAAATTCTCTTTCACTTCTTCTTTATGGTATCTTTTCAGCCATTTACTTTATTAAGGCTATTTTTATGTTATCCTTTCAGCACAGGATTCCTTAGAAATTCTTCTGATTATATATAGTTATTTTAAGGTGTTTGCAAATTCTGGTATCTATTCCTACTCAAGCAGGTTATCTTCTATTGATTTAATTTTCCCTTATCTGAAAATGGGTCATATTTCCATTTTTTTTTTAAAAAGGACATTGTAAATAATATACTGCAACAATAGATTTTGTTATATTCATTCAAAGGGCTTTCTGCTTCTGATTGTGCATGGTTCTGATAGGCTTGCCTAAACTCAAACTGCAAACTATGCTTCTTTTGCAGTGTGCTACAAGTGATTTTGCCTCGTTCTTTCACATTCTAGCTGTTTCTTCCTAGCTGTTCACATCTTCTGTTTTCAGGTTTCTCTACCAAATCCTAACTCCTCTGTCAGCTGCATGTTCTGTTCTGAAACCCAAAGTCAGCTTTTGACCATCCTTGCCCCATGCAAGTTGAGAAGTGTACTCAGAAAAGAAATAAACACAAATCTTGTGTGATTTAACTCTCTTTAAAGAGCAAAAGTCACTTCATATAAACTAGTTATATATGAATTAAAAAGACATACTTGATGAAGCAGAGGAAATTCTTACATATTTGTAAGATTACAAAAACACTGAAATATTTTTGCTTACACATATACTTTAAAAAAAAGCAATGGTTTGTTAAGGTATGAAATCAAATATACAATAGCTGCCATGATAAATTAAACTATCAAAGATAGCCCTTTCCCTCTTCAATTAAAAATAATATCAAACATGAATTCACAAGACTGATATCAATAAACAACACACACAAATAATTTTTTTCACTGTAATACATGGGATCAAGCATAAGGTTTGGGTAGAAACAATTAGCTGAGGAACTGAAGCACAAATACAAGAATTGCTTCCTTTGAGCTTTGTCTGTCAAACACAGGAAATGCAATGTTTTTTAATAGTCCTTTGATAATTAAAAACCTTGTCATAGGCTGAGACTATCAAACGAATATTTATTTAAAATAAATGTACAATATAACACCAAAAAACAAGCAACAACAACAACAAAAAAAAAACAGACAAACTAAATTCATTAAAATTTAAAACTTCTGTGCCTCAAAGAACACCATCAAGAAAGTGGAGACAATCCACAGAACAGGAGAAAATATTTGCAAATCATGACTCTGATCTTTACATAGTATGCTATGTAAAGAATGCTTACCATTCAAGATTTAAAAGACAATTCAGTTTTAAACTGGACAAAAGACTTATATACAGACAGAAAAATGGTAAGCACATGAAATAATGCTTATCAGTCATGGAAATAAAAATCAAAACCACAATGATGTACCACTTCACACAATTAGTAGTGGGATTGTATATACCGCTGGTACAGTCAGCTTGACAGTTCTTCAAGGTGTTACACAAAAAAAAGGACTACATTCCTTGGCAATTCAACTTTTATCCATGTTCATTAAAGAAATGAAAATATGCCTTCATGAAAATTTATACAACAATTTTTACTGTGCAAGCATGCCTAATGGCCAAAAATAAAGTAGATACAATACATCAAATGATGAATGGATAAATGAAATGCAGTGCATAACAGAATACTATTCAGTCATAAAACTGAATGAAATACTATCAACTATTCTACAACTTGAAATACTGTGCTAAGTGAAAGAAACGAGACACAGGTCATTTTATAATAAAGTGCACAGACAGGCACACAATACAAACAGAAGACTGTTAGTGTCACCTAGGGCTGGGAGGTGAGGGAAAGGGAAGGGTATAATGAAAGCATTAAATAGAAGCTATGAGTCCACAAGCCTGAATATACTGAAATATGACTCAACACTTAAGGATGAATTTTCTGGCCAGGCGTGGTGGCGCACGCCTGTAATCCCCAGCACTTGGGAGGCTGAGGCAGGAGGATCGCTGCGAGTTCGAGACCAGCCTGGGTTACATAGTGAGTTTCAGGTCAGTCTCAACTACATAGTGAGACCCTGCCTCAAAAAACCACAAAAAAAAAAATTAATTTTCTGATATGTAAACTGTATCTCAATAAAACTGTCAATAAAATAAATAAATTTGCAAGATGAAATATACATCATGAGTACATATAGTGCAAAAACTACTGGTTTACTCTAACTCAAATATATGCATCAACAGGGAAAAATAACAGTAAGTTACTCTTTTCTACTCACTACATATCCAGAAATCAATTACCACATTTAATGTAGTAGAAACATGTTTAGATCTTTGCAAACAGCATTTTCTCCTTAAAATGCTATATTTACTATAAATGTATGTTAAACACATTAGAATAACTGCTGAATATTTAAGCATCCACTATGATTATTATAGAATAGTTATTGTTCTAAACTACTTAAAAAGTGTACTAAGAGAAACCAGTGCCTATCATTAACTATTTCTTTACAGATCTACAAAATCCCCTTTAGCTAATCAAATAAATATATTTATCTCAGAAGTCCTTTTTGACATTAAAAAACATCACAAGTTTTATTATGACACTTAATTATCTAATATCTCAGCACATTCCTCCCATTTTTGAAGTATATTTAATCACTTTAAAATCTACCATGATTAACCAAAGCATCGTTGTAACTCTATAATCACTACAGCACATAAATCAGCACATAAATCTACAGTATATAAATCTATATAAATGATTTTTTGTTCGTTTGTTTTGGTACCAGGGATCAAACTCGGATCCTTGTGCTTGCAAGGCAGGCAGCAGAACCACTGAGCTAAATTCCCGGCCTACAGTATATAAATCTAAAACAGTATGTAGTTGAAGTAAGACACACTCTGAGAGTAAGTCACCTACCTTTATGCAAAAATAAAAAAATAATGCTTCATCTAATGAATTCATAAGCTTACAGAATTCTTAACCAAAGATGTCTTTTCATATTTTAATCTTTGAACAACGAAATTAGGGTCATCTGGATGGAAAACAGCACAGAGCGTGACCGCAATAATGGTTGGCACGCTGCAGCGAACAGCACCTAACACAAGCAGCAGTCAGGCAACGGATAACAAAAGAAATCTGTATAAGATTTGGCAATGAGTAGAGAATGACTACAAAAACTTATCTAGGAAATTCCTGCTTTGTTCATTAAGTTGTACCATTCCTACCCATTAAAAATACTGCCCTTGAACTCTTACTACTTAGGCTGCACAGAGAAAGAATTTTCTGGAAAAAATGTATAGAAAAGATTCAAAGGGGATCAAAATAGGTACAATGAAGAAATTTAATCATTACTCAAGCAAAACTTAAGTGCAATATAATTTATAGCTGTAATTTATATTATTGTAAATGTCATTCATACAATATATAAATTTAACTAAATGCAAAGTATTTAACAGGGAGTTAAGTACTTACCAATTATTTAGAGAGCCTTTGAAAAATCTTCCTGATGGCTGAGATTCCCTAAATAATAAAAAATAAATAAGATATAATTTTCAGCTTCAAAGTTATACCTATTCTATAAAAATCTACCTAAGAATTCTGTTTAATAGGAAGGTTAAGCATAACACTTCAAATTCAAAATATATGCTAGCTTTACAGAAGACTTGAATGAGAACATATTTTTTTCTAATCACTTTTTACCTTTTAGTAACTAAATCATCTGCTTATAGTAGCTGCATGTGACTATACAACTCCATGTTTTCAAACCACCGTTATGACTCTTCAAAATCAAAACACAGCAAGTAAGGGAGAACCTATTATAAAAAAAACAAAAACCCGCCTCTCCCAGAGTTGTAAAATAAAGCTGTTTAAAAATTCCTTTCAACAAATCACCAGAATATCTATCTTACCCTAGCAGAAATGTTAAACTACACATAAAAATAAAACAATAATGCTTTCTTATGACTAAAACAAACCAACAGATTTTCTGTGACTACTTTCACCAAAATCAAAATCAATCAAATTAATATTATCCACATTATTCATTTCAGGCCATAGCAAAGAGGAAAAGGAAAGGTATATTTGAGACCTAAACATAAAATTATTAAAAATAAAGTTTCAATAAGATGACAAGAAAATATCACAACTTTTGAGTTGGGCAAATTCAACTTTGTGTTCACTTTATAAAAGTACATCAACACAGAAAAATTCATCTATATAGTACTTTTCTGTATGTAAACTGCTATTTTTCAAAGCTTATTTTATTAAAACACTCAAACACAGTACACAGGAAAACAAAACAAATTGGATTTCCTTACAATTAAGAAGTATTCTTTTTTAAATGTGAAGAAGAAACTATTAACAATGTACATCAGGGCCAGAGATTTAGCTCAGTAGTTCTGGCACCTGCTTTGCAAGCACAGGGACCCAAGTTCTATTCCTAGTACAAAAAAAAAAAAAAAAAGACCCCAATGTATATCAAAGGACTCATTCCCAAAATATATTTTAAATGACAAAAATATTTCAAAAGTCCTATTTTTAAGACAGCCTAAGACTCAAATAAAACTTAAAAAGATCATTAGAAAAGGCACTCACTATCACTATTAAGAAAATATCAACTAACACTTCAAAGAGAGACTATATTCCACCAAAACAACTAATTTTTATCTAAAAACCAGATAGTACCAAGTGCATACAAAACAGATGTACAGTAACTGGCATCCTCATATGCTGGAAGCAGAATTGTATAATGGTATAAAAAGAATAAGAAGGGCCAAAGATTTAGCTTAGTGGTGCCGCCACCTGCCTCGCAAGCACACGGGCCCAAGTTCGATTCCCAGTAACAAAAAAAAGAACAAGAAACTGGAAGTATCTACTAAACTTGAAAATACATATTCCCAATGATTAAGCAGTACCATCCCTCAAGCATACACTCAGCAGAAACATGTACATATGTGCATCAAAAGGTATATACAAGAATTATCACAACTTTATGGGTTAAGAGCCCCAAATGATAGACAATCTAAACATGTATCGATAAGTGGAAAGAAGAAATAAACTACATATTTCATACATGGAATCCTGATCTATAGTGGAAAATGAAAATAAAAACCAATGCTACAAACAAAATATGACAAATATCAAAAATTCAATGCTGTATCAAAGAAGCTGAGACAAAACAGCACATACTACACTACAAATTTTTATAAAATTCAACAACAAACCAAACTTATCTGTGGTTGTTAGAAGAGTGGTTTACCTTTCTTGTGAAGCCATTATAGACTGGGACAGGATACAAGGAGGCTTCTGAGAAGTTGGTATCTTGATCTAGGTTGGGGTTAAAAGGTGTGAAAGTGTATTCACTTTGTAAAAGTACATCAACATAGAAAAATTTATCTATACTTTTCTGTATGTAAACTTCAATTTTTAAAGTTTATTTTATTTAAAAAATCCAAAAAAGTACTTCTCAATAAAATAAGTTTAGGCCATGATACTAATAAGTGACTAATTTGAAAAATCTGAAATCTCCTAACAACACATTCTATTTTATTTCTATTGACTACATAAACGTAATTTAAATATGACTGGTCATTTTAAAGTTGAAGAGTAGTTTCAGTGTTGGTCTAGATTTTACCACAAAGGATTCCTCATGATTTCTGATCACTGCTTAGGGACCCCTTATCTGAAATGGCTGGGACCAGAAGGGCTTCAGAATTCATGGTTTTTCAGATACTGTCACTCCCACTTGAGCACTCTAACCCAAAAAACCAAAATCTGAATATGCAATCATTTCAGATACAGCATAAGATTGTCACCTAAAGATGCACAACCTACAATGGTAAAGAACACTTTTTATAAAATTCTGCCCAAGTTTGTCCTAACCAGGCTCAAGTTAAATGGACACATTAGTAATTTTGCATGCATATTTTAAAAGCATTAATACTGAACTTTGACACTGATCTCAAAAGCAAACAGATGTGCAAGCCAGGCATTCACAAAATCTGTAAAGCAAATTACTGGGCCTTATTATTTAGAAAATTTTAGATTTTTAAAATCAGTACCTATTAAAGAAAACTAGAACATGCTGAAAAAAAGCCTTACAAATAAATATTCTTATATATAAAAATTTTTTATTAATACTTATATGGTACCTTTCTTTAATGAAAATACAAACACAGACCTATTTCTCTTTAAACACTTCTCCATTATATTTAGCTAGTCATTGGTTTTTTTCACTAACCAACTTCTATTCCTTTCTCTAACTTAAACATTATTCGATTAGAGGTGAAAACTTTAACAGACCTAAGTAAGAATACCTGCCTTATTATTACAGCAACCTATTTGTCTTGAGATACTGTGTTATTGTTGTTGGTAGTGGTGGATGCAAGCAAAATTTAGGGGAAAGAGGACAACACAGACCCTGATAACTCAGGACCCTTAACAATTCCCAGAGGCTGAGGAATTTACATTTCTCAGCAGAGCAGTATCCTTCTAAAGGGACAAAGAGCATTTGGGAAGACCTATCAAACAAATACAAGATTCTTCCTGAATCTTGCATTATACTGGCTGTAAGACTTCAACATGTCACACATCTCCTTTCCTAACTTGGAAACTTGAAATCAGGAGGAATGGTGAGTTTCTGCCTGAAGATCATCAACTACCCAAACAGGATGAAGATGGGCACAAGGTACATTAAACACTTTCACAAAATCTTTTTTTTTTGGGGGGGGGGTCCAGGAATTAAACTCAGGACCTTGCACCTGCCAGGCAGGCACAGCATCAAAACCTATTTTTTGTTCTGTATGAGACAGGGTCTTACTTTGTACTCCCAGGCTGGATTTCAAACTCACCTTGTACTCCTTTCAAGAAGGAAATGCTTCTTTAAGATCCGTATCTTGTATTGAGCATGGTGAACATATCTATGATACTAGCTACTTGGGAGGCTGAGGCAGGAGGAGCTCAATTTAGCAAAATTTAAAAAGATCCAGGGATATATATAGTTCAGTGTTCCTTGGTTTCAATGCCCAGTACAATCACTCAATCAATAACTCAATCAACACATAAATAAAATTTAAGAATTTAAAAATTGGAAAATTTTCACCAAGAATAGCTTTAAAACTTAAAGTGGCCGAAATGGATATCCTTTGTTATGAACAAAAGTGTTAATGTAGGAGGCACCTGAAACAAAAAGGGCACACCTTCTTTATGAGAAGTTTGTTATGTTCTTAAGAAAGATCAATTTACTGTATATAAGGTCAAATTTCTCAAAAAAAGAAAAAAAAAGACAAATAATATAGGATAGGGTCATAGTTTAGGGCAACTTTGAAGACAAAAGGAAACTGACCAAATTAACTCAAGACAACAGATTCCACCCCAAATCTAAATAAAGGGCCCACAGAACCACGTATGGGTTTATTAAGGCTACTTATCCAATTTTGTGATTTATAGCAATTCTAAAGATTGCCTCTGAGAGGACTCTTAAGGACATAAACAAATCAGTCTTCCCTAAAAGAGTTATAATGAATTCAGGCGTGGCACCAACTATAATAACCATGTACATTCTGGTATTTAATCATCTAACATTTTTAAAGGTTCTAAGTTACAATAAGACAGGAAAAAATAAGTTCTGGTGTTGTATTACATAATAAGGCGACTATTTCTCAATAAAGCTAGAAGAAAGGATTTTGAATATACCCATCACAAAGAAATGAGAAGTGTCTCAAAAGAGGTAGATAGGCTTATCCTGATTCAAAAATTATACAATGTTTACATTACACAGTATCACATATGCATGTATACCCATAAAGGTATATAGTTTTTATGCAGATATTAAAACTTTCACGTTAAAACCAATAGAATTTATCAATCCCCGGTACCCCCCCCAAAAAAACCAATAGAATTTAATCGAACATCTTTAAATGTTGTTCATAATTCATTTGTTTAAGATTGTTATTTTTGTTTTCAATTCTAATTTCGGAGCTAGACTGATAAAGATATAAAAAGGCAGGTACTCAGGTAGCTAAGCATTCTAAGTAGTGAAATCCCCACCCCCACCCACCTCCTCAGTTATGCTCTCCACAGTTTCAGTTACCTGCAGCTGAGCACAGTCTAAAAATAATAAATAGAAAATTCCTGAAATATTTCCTAAGTTTTAACTTACAGGACACTAAGTAGCATAATGAAATCCCACAACCTCCTGCTCCATCCCACCAGTGTATTTGTACACACGACTGCCTGGCAATTCCCACCTCAGGTGTCTTTTAAAAATTATACACCATAGCCCAGCACGGTGGAGCATGTCGGCAATCCCAGTACTCTAGGTGGCTGAGGCAAGAAAACCATCTCAAAATTGTCTCAAGATAAAACTGTAAAAGGTGTAAAGGGCTGGGATGTAGCTGAGTATGAAGACCCTGAGTTCAATCTCTCAAAACTGAAAAAAGAAACAAACAAAACCACACGCAAAAAAATCCCTAATTCATGCCATAAATACTTTTAGTAAAAGACATAAATTTTTACTTAAAATTATAAATCTCACACTGCATTTCTATTTCCTTAACAAAGAAAGCACAGAATTCAATATTTACTCTCAAGCATCTGGCTCAATTCTACAAATCTATAAAGAATGCTCAATTTTAGTGCCTCAATTTTAAAGAATTCCTTCAGCTTTCTGAGGACATTCTCACAGACACTACACGCACGCAAAGTAAAAAGTAAACTCATGATACTTTCAAAACATCTGATTTGTTCTAGCTGTCAAAATAGTACAAAGTCTCAATACAACTTATCTGTATTTCTACACAATCTCACATTTACAGTTATTCCCTCACTGTTTTTGACATTTCCACAAACCTTAAAAAATTTCTAAATTCCTGTTATCACCAATTTTTAAAAAGTACTTCTTCTGACACCTGTGACTTATATCTTTCACTACCATCCTATTACTTACAATGAAGTCTCATGTAAGTCATTTATTGTAGTACAACCACTGAATTTTAATTCTATTCCCCAAAATATGAACTTTATCTAGAAACATAAACTGCTGCCTACTTTGATACCTGCAACTAGAAGACTATGCAAACAAAACATTAGGACTCGAAGTATCTCAGATAATCTGTAGGATTACCATATTCCAATTAACTTTACAGAAAAAAAAAAGAATTTCACAAAATGAAATCTATCAATACACTTTTAACAAACAGGGAAAACAAAAGCCCACAGGATTTATTTGAAATAACATACTCAGAAAAAGGCAGCCCTACCTAGAACCAAGTACGATCATGAACTGCCTAATGATGTTTTGCTCAACAGTAGATAGCATATTTGAAGAAGGTGGTCAAATAAGATTATAATGGAGCTGGAAAATTCCTACCACCCAGGAATGCCAGCAGTCTTGGAGGCCTGAGAGAAAACATTACAAGTCTGTGGTGCTGCTATAAACAAACTTACTCTGCTGCCAGTATAAAAAAGTATAGAGCATATTGCTATGCACAGTGCATACTACTTGATGAAGCTAATAACTATGTTACTGCTCTGTGGATTATTATACTATACTACTTATTATTAGAGTATATCCCTACTTATTTTAAAAGTTTACTGTAGAATACCATGCTGTTACATTTTCCTACATATATAAAGGAAAACAAATTTGTAGTTAGAAACATTCTAGAAAAGGAAACATGTTCTGGTGGTTTCACAGCAAATGTTATAAAACATTAGGAAAAATCATTGTAATTAAACATTCTCTCTTGCAGAAAAAGAAGAGAATATTTCTCAACTCAAAATATCAAAGAGATATTACAAGAAAACAGCAGACAACATCTCTTAAGAATATACATTAAAAAAATCATCAACAAAATATAAGCAAATCCAATCCAACAATATTAAAAAATGAATAACAGCTCACAACAAAGTACAGTTTATCAGAGAAATGGCTAACTGGTTCAATATTTACTTACTAACAAGAAAAAACACTTCAATACCTGTAGAAGAGGCATTTGACAGAATCTAACATCCATTACATCCATTTCTAATTTTTTTAAAAAGCCTCTCAGCACAGGGCCGGGGATTTAGCTTAGTGGTTCAGGTGCCTGCCTCACATGTGCAAGGACCAGAATTCAATCTCCAGTATCCCCCCAAAAAAGGCTCAGCAAGTAAGAATAAAAGAATTTCCTTAATCGGCTACAATATCTAAATAAGCTTACAACCAACATTATATTTAATGATAAAAAAGTGCTAAAAGACCAAAAACATGACTACTGTACTAATCAAGTTTCTACTAGAATCATTAGCACAGACATCAGGCATTTTAATATTCTTCCAAATTCTCT